GTCTATAGTGTGTTATGTGTATGCTAGTCCAAAGAGATGTGTTTTTAGTCTAGATTTGAACTTACAGAGTGTGTCTGCTTCCCGGACAATGTTAGGAAGATTGTTCCAGAGTTTTGGTGCTAAATAGGAAAAGGATCTACCGCCAGCAGTCGATTTTGATATTCTAGGTATTATCAACTGGCCGGAATTTTGAGAACGCAATAGGCGTGAAGGACTATAATGCGTTAAGAGCTCGCTCAAGTACTGCGGAGCTAAACCATTTAGTGCTTTGTAAGTAATCAGCAATATTTAAAAATTTATACAATGTTTAATAGGCAGCCAATGCAGTGTTGACAGAACCGGGCTAATATGGTCATATTTCCTGGTTCTGGTAAGAACTCAAGCTGCTGCGTTTTGAACTAGCTGTAGTTTGTTTATTAAGGGTGCAGGGCAACCACCCAGTAGAGCATTACAATAATCTAGTCTTGATGTCATGAACGCATGAACTAATTGTTCCGCATTTGTCAATGAGAGCATATGGCGTAATTTAGATATATTTTTAAGATGGAAAAATGCGGTTTTACAGATACTAGACACGTGATTTTCAAATGAAAGATTGGTATCAAAGAGCACACCAAGTTTCCTAACCGACGACGAAGACTTAACAGAGCAGCCATCAAGTGTTAGACAGTATTCTAGGTTATTACGTGTGGAAGTTTTTTGTCCAATAATTAGAATCTCTGTTTTTTTTTCAGAATTTAGTTGTAGGAAATTACTAGTCATCCATTTTTTTATATCAGCTATGCATTCCGTTAATTTTGTGAATTAGTAAGTTTCATTAGGTTTTGAAGAAATATACAGCTGAGTATCATCGGCATAACAGTGAAAGCTAATTCCATGTTTCCTAATGATATCTCCTAATGGTAGCATGTACAGAGTGAACAGCAACGGTCCTAGTACTGAGCCTTGTGGTACACCATACTGAACTTGTGATCGATAAGACATCTCTTCATTTACTGCTACAAACTGATAACGGTCAGATAAGTATGATTTAAACCATGCTAATGCAATTCCACTATTGCCAACATAGTTTTCTAGTCTATTTAAATTTAAATTTTAATGTTGTGGTCAATTGTGTCAAATGCAGCACTAAGATCAAGTAACACTAATAGAGAGATACAACCATGATCGGATTATAAGAGCAAATCATTTGTGACTCTGATGAGAGCTGTCTCGGTACTATGGTACGGTCTAAATCCGGACTGAAAATCCTCGCAGATATCATTTCTTTCTAGAAAGGAACACAGTTGTGAGGATACTGCTTTTTCCAGTATCTTTGACAGAAAAGGCAGATTCGAGATCGGCCTGTAATTGACTAATTTTGTATGATCAAGTTGCGTTTTTTTAACAAGCGGTTTTATCATAGCCAGCTTAAAGGTTTTTGGTACATATCCTAGAGACAAAGACGAATTAATGATAATAAGAAGAGGATCTATGACATCTGGAAGCATCTCTTTCAGTAGCTAAGTCGGAATAGTGTCTAACATACAAGTTGTTGATTTAGATGATTTAACGAGTTTGCGAAATTCTTCCTCTCCTATAGCAACAAATGAACCAAATTTTTCCTCAGGGAGACTATAATGCACTGCCTGATGCGATACTGTGGTAGACGGTTGCATAGTTATAATTTTATCCCTGATATTATCAATCTTATAAGTGAAGAAATTCATAAAGTCATTACTGCTGTGTTGCTTGGACACTTCTGGGCTTGAAGCTTTCTTTTTCGTTAGTTTAGCCACTGTTTCAAATAAATACCTAGGATTATGTTTATTTTCTTCTAATAGGGTTGAAAAATAAGCAGATCTAGCAGCTTCTAAGGCCTCTCTGTAAGCAATCGAGCTTTCCTTCCATGGCTGCTCTCTTAAGGGCCCAGGTGTACAGCGAGTACCACGCCGTTGGACTATTTTCTTTGATCTTCTTTAAGCACAACGGAGCAACTGCGTCTAAAGTGCTGGAAAAGAGAGAGTTAAAAGTTTCTGTTGCAATATCGAGTTATTCTAAGCTATCCGGGATGCTGAGATGATGCAACTGATTAGGAAGAATATTGATAAAGCAATCTTTAGTGGCAGAAGTTATAGGTCTAACATATTTTTAACACGGAGTCGGCTTTGCTGCTTTGGCTAAGTGAAGTTTACATGAGACTAGATAATGATCTGAGATGTCATCGCTCTGCTGCAGAATTTCAACGGCATCAACATCTATTCCATGTGATAGTATTAGATCTAGAGTATGATTACGACAATGAGTAGGTCCCGACACGTGTTGTCTAACTCCAATTGAGTTTACAATGTCTTTAAATGCCAATCTCAATGCATCTTTTTCATTATCTACATGTATATTAAAATCACCAACAATTAGTACTTTATCTGCAGCCAATACTAGTTCTGATAGAAAGTCCGCAAATTCTTTGATAAAGTCTGTATGGTGCCCTGGTGGCCTGTATACAGTAGCCAGCAGAATTCTCAAACGTGATTTATCATTTACACTATATTTTTACATTAAGCACCAATACTTCAAAAGAAGTATATTTAAAACTAGATTTCTTAGTGGTTTTGAAGATATTACTATAAATTACAGCAACACCTCCCCCTTTGCCTTTCAGACGAGGTTCATGTTTATAACAGTAATCTTGGGGGGTGGACTCATTTAAAGTAATGTAATCGTTTGGTTTTAGCCAGGTGTCTGTCAAACACAGCACATCTAGATCATATCATTAACTATGAGCGATTTTGAAGTAAGGGATCGAATATTCAGAAACCCAAGCTTTATCATTTGCTCGTCTGTATTATATCTGTTTTTTATTTGTTGAACATCAATTAAATTTTTAATCTGACGTTTTTTGGATATCCAAGTTCGGGGAACAGACACAGTCTCTATGATATCTAGGTGAAAGAGCCTCTATGTGATGGGATTTATCTGACCTTGGTGACGCGAGGCCGCTAGCAGACGGTCGGTTTAGCCAGTCTGTCTGCTTCCTGACCTGGTGCCAAATTTGTCATGTTTTAGCTCTAAGACTATGAGCCAAATTACTAGAGAGAAGAGCAGCACCATCCCAGGAGGGATGAATACCATCTCTTTTCAACAGGTCAGGCTTGCCCCAAATACTTTTCCAATTGTCTATGAATTCTACATTATTTTGCGGACACCACTCAGACAACCAGCAATTTAATGAACACAATCTACTAACTATCTCATCACTCCTGCGAACAGGAAGGGGGCCAGAGCAAATTACAGTGCCTGACATCGTACTTGCGAGTTCACATACCTCTTTAATATTAATTTTGGTGATCTCCGACTGGCGGAGTCGAACATCATTAGTGCCGACATGAATAATGATCTTAGAGAATTTACGATTAGCATTGGCCAGCACTTTTAAATTTGCTTTGATGTCGGGCGCTCTGGCTCCCGGCAAACATGTGACTATGGTGGCTGGTGTCTCTATTTTCACGTTCTGTGTGATCGAATCACCAATAACTAGGGCACAATCAACAGAATTCTCAGTGGGTGTTTCACTGAGTGGGGCAAATCGATTTGTTATGGGAATCGGAACGGAAGAGTGGTTCTTTGATCCGCGACTAGAGCGGCGATCCCTAACTGTCACCCATCTGCCCTGCTGCACGGGCTCTACTTCAGCCGGAACCGAATCATGTAAAGAGTTCACTATGCTAGGCGCATCCAAAATACTATCTAAAGATCTAGCATTCTTACCATCCTCAATTAAAGTTTGGATGCGTGTCTCTAGTTCTGAAATCTTCTCCATCAGCCTGACTGTCTCCTTGCATTTATCACATATAAATCCTATATTGCCATCGGAGAAGGCTATACTAAACATATGACATGTGACACAGGTGACAATAACAGGACAAGACATTACTCACCGTGTTTGTTGACTGATTCTTACTCACCGTGTTTGTTTATTAGGACAATCAGCCCACTCAAGGGCTGACTGGGCATGTTCCAGTCCCAACACATTACACATAAATCATGCATTTCATCCTCCATAATAAAGCAGGGCTATGGCGACGCACAATTCCTGAACTGTTTGTCTGGCCATGTAAAACAGAGTGAGATGTCACAATAAATCCCACTGATAAACAGCAGACATGCAGCTTCCTCAAGACAAAGAAGCGTGTTATGGTCTTGATGATGCTCTACGCTTCGTCACCTAACATCCGATGGCCAATAGAATTGGCGTGATTTCACACAATGCTGGAAGTGTTTCCATATCATCAACACCTTGACACAGCGTTGAGCTCCTTTGAAAGGGAACCCCTTATTATAGCACCACTTAGTGTCAGACGGATTTGTGTCTGTGTATTTGAGTAGATGCACACCTTTAGAACCATCCTGCCAAGTTTGGGGTCTTTACAATTTACCTTCTCTGACACCTATATGCTTTTAGGGCAGAAAATAATAGAAAGAAGATTATCCCTTCGGTGCTTAAACCCCTAATAATCAGAAAATTGGAACCTTCGGTGCCTGCTGTTCCTTGAACAAAATATTGATTTAAAACTAAGCTGGTACATGTGTAAAAATATCTTAGATATACGTAAATAGCTAAATTCCTTTCACAACACCATCAAATATCAAAGATAACTAAAAATAAATAACAAGAAATAAATTTTAAAAAATGGTTCATTTGTATCCTTATTTTGAAACATGCTGTTGTCCCAGTAATTTTGTCTCCCAGTCTAAGTTCCCAAAAAGTGTAAGTTCGTACAGTCCCAAAAACAGGCTTGCTCTACTGTATAGAAGCCAATGAAAGACCTTCAAAAGAACCAGCATATCCATTGTCAGTCTTCCCGTTTTATAACTCTTTTCTGTTAGTAATGTAAAATGATACGTATAATATGTTGTTATATTTAAGCTTGCATTAAGCTATGCATTCCAAAAAACGTACTCTCTTAGTCAAAATGAACAGATGTAGATGACTCATGACATGAATTGCATGTGTATTGCAGGTACAGTGGTCCCATCCAAAACAAAGATCGCGTACCACTTCTCAACACTGGTGCTGACTTACGGCCAGCAGCACACGCTTCAGATAGAACCAAGGGATGAGTATGGCAACCCCACCAGTAACTCCGTCTCACTGGTGGATGAGGTCAATTACAGCGTTCATGTCCACCCAGTACGGGCACTTACTGCATACTTACAGTTCATAGTTTTTAGTTCAAACTTTAGAAGTTTGTGTATACAGTATGTTTTAGCATTAAAGAGGTTGCAGGTCCAATAGAATTAGCTGAGTTTGTATTTAAATCTCTTTTTCTTACTGTTCCTACAGTTGGGCACAGTGGAGGAGGAGGAGAGCTCAGATGATTGCTACAGCACATCGGTATCATTAAACAAGCCTCAGTGTCAGGTTCTGATGAGGCTCACCTTCAGGAAGAAAGGCTGCTTTAGAGCATGCATCTCATACAGGGACCAGCCCCTTAGCAATGGGGAGTTTGACATCATTGTACTCAGTGGTGAGTTAATCTTGGTATTGGAGATGGTTGTTGGGGAGATTTACTAAAATGCTTCTAACACCTTTTCATCACTTTTCCAGTGATTTGTGTTCCCCTGATAAAGATTTTTTTCTTTTTAATAATTTTATTGAGATTGTACTCATAAAGAGCTAAGCATGATAAGAAAACTTTTTTTTAAATCCCCACATTAATTTAGTTTTTATTTGTTTTCCTCCGAGTGTTTCACGTTTCCCCCACAATCGAAAGACATGCAGGTGAATTGGTGAAACTAAATTACCAGAATTATTTCACTTGTTATATTTCACTTGTTTATACAGTTGTTCTAAACCTGCATGAGTTTCTTTGATCAGTTGAACAGAGAAGAAGGTATTTTGAAGAGTGTTAGTACCCAAACAGTTTCTGGTCCTACTACAGTTTCTACTATTGACTTCTATAGTATAGTATATAGTATAGTATTTTTATTTCATAGTATGGAAGTCAGTGGGGTTTTCAACAGAACAAAGGAAATCATGCAGGTTTAGAACAACTTGAAGGTGAGTAAATGATGACATAATTTTCATTTTTGGGTGAACTATCTCTTTAAAACAAGAATTTAAAAAAATCTGCCAATGCAGTAAGGCCGGGCATACTCTGTGCGATGTCTGAGCTATTTCAGCAAGGTTACTAACTCACACTGTATGATTAGATAGCATGTCATGAAAGCCAAAGCTCACGATTTATGTGCTCACATACGGTCCGATCGGCGAGCTGCGACTTGTCTGCTCACTCTATACGTGTGAAATATGCGAGATAAACACTGTACCGGGCTGCGCCTATAGACCATGATATTGTGTATCTAGGGATGTCATTAAAAGCATCAGCTATCGATTTCAAGAGTATTTAGCATTTCCAATTTATGTATTAAATTATTATTATTATTAGGGTAGGCCTACTTTTATTATTAAACTGATATTACAGTAAATTTGCCCCGCAATAATTTTATAGCGCATCACTGCAAACTGAGGTACCTTGAAGTCCATTTTGCAGAGATGGACTAAAAATGAACTCCTAAAACTTACTGCCAGATTCTGGAAGATGAATTCTTCAACAGTGGTACGAGAGGATGTGGTGCTGGATTGAGTCACTCTCAATCTGTCTGTCTATAAAGCCTATAAATAACAGTCTTCATGTATTTTACTTCACTTCAGCTTGTGATTCTTATTAAGTAGAGATCATTTTTTAAGATTCTTTACCTAACCTAAGTCTCTGAGATCCTGACACCTTGCACTTCTGGAGACTCCAGGTAGGTTCCAGTTCTGGAAAATGAGAATGAGCTAGAGACTAAAGGGTTCCTGATGGTTTCACGCTTAATTCGTTACCTTAATTCTCCATTTTTTGCAGTTAACATGTTTGTTTGTTTTTCTCCACCTGTTTTTGTCTAACCTTGCTGCCCCAATGGGCATTTCACTTTCCAATGGTAATGACTTAACTGCAATTTCTAGTATTGCATTATTATTGCATCCTTCTCATGGGCATTTAATCATTTTTGACTTTTCAGTCTGAGTTAAATCTCTTTTTTTGGCTCATTTTATCTGTAAAAGAAAACGTGCCTAATAATTATGCACACCTGAATAAAAGGTGTTTTTTATTTCCAGCCTTCATGAACAATTATATATCACTTATAAATTATTAAATCCAAAATTAATATTAGTTAAGATTAATGTGGTTTGGAATTGGAAAATATGCCTGGGAAAAAAATATGATCAGAAAATCAACGTGCCTAATAATTCTGCATGCAGTGTAAAGCTGCTCTTAATTTTCATTGATGACTGATTATTGCAATGTTCTGACATATTATTGACTGTTGATAATTTTAATTATAGGCTTATAATTAATAGTATTATAGACCTAAATGTTTTTTTAAATAATTTTTAATGAGTAAGCTAATCTATCGAATCTTTTATTATCCTTGCAGCGTGTCGGTTTTGTGGTGATGCGCTATGAATTTATTGCGGGGCAAATTAATTGTAATATCAATTAATAATAAAAGTAGGCCTACCCTAATAATAATAATAACTAATAATTTAATACATAAATTGTAAATGTTAAAAATTCTCTTGTTATCGATAGCTGATGATTTTGACAATATCTCTGGATACACAATATCATGGTCTATCGGCGCAACCCGGTACAGTGTTTATCTCGCATATTTCACACGAATAGAGTGAGCAGTCAAGTCGCAGCTCGACGATCGGACCGTGTGAGCAAATAAATCGTGAGCTTGGGCTTTACATTGCATGCGATCTACTCGCTGCTATTTCTCACAGAAATTGCACAGTGTATGCCCAGCTTAAGAAACCCTTCATTTTGTGTAACTCCCTAAACTCCCTATAGCAGTTGAACTGTTGATCATTTGTTGGAGCATGTTAGAAAGGAGCATGTTAAAGCAGCCAACTCTTTTGCACCAAATATGGCCATATCACTCTCAGTTCCTCTCTAGCTATGTCCTCTTTTGTGGTCCAGTTAGACATTCACCCTATACTTTTTCCTGAACAGAAGTCTGGATTGAGGGGTACATAGAGCTAAACCATTTGTGCAATGATGTTGTCAGGCTTGAAGTTGTATAGGCCCTTTCAAAATCCTCTCTGGCCTTCAGACTGCAGCTACGGAAAATGAGGATTCACCACTTTTATGGATTCTGACTTAAGTCTGTCATCTCCAGTCCCTGGCTGGCTTAGTAAGGGGAGAGTTTGGCCCCTAGTGCAAAGATCCGGGTTCAGTACCTAATTGGGAACCTTTTTGTAGCAGCTTTAGTGTAAAACTTGAACTTGCTTGCACACCAGCTTGTATGCTAACATGTCTGTTGGGGGTAACTGGCAGTGTGACACATTAGGCAGCCTCGGCTATTACTAACTAACTGTTTCTTATGGACACCAGGTAACTTGGGATTCAGAAAGCATTTGTCTGCATTCTAGTGTGGAAACTCTGTTATTTTCTTCAATTTAAAGGGTCATGAAACCCCTGTTCAGCACTAGTCAATTGTTACCACAGTTTTGAAAAATGTTACAAAAATTGGTGTGGTAATCTGTGGAGTGGAGGGGGAAGAAGAGAGACTGACAACAAAGCAATGGCTTCTGATAAAGACAGTTTTATTTCGCTCTCATTATTGTTTACATCAACGATACATATCGTCGCATTTTTTTATTGCGATATCTCAATATAACAATGTATCGTTACACCCCTAACACAATATACACATTTTATACATGGTTTTGTAAGCTCACCGTAAATTACACAAATACTGTACATACATATCCCATGACAGCTATAATTTAACCCTCAGGTGCTCTTCGGTCATTTCTGACCGAAAATTTTTCTGTTTTAACTTTTTTAAAATCACAGCTTCATCGGAATGTTACGAAACTTGGTGACTTTTATGGCATTGGGTATGTGAACACACAAAAAAATTGAGGTCATGATCCGAGCAGGCTAAGTGGTTGTAAAAAAAAATAGTCACACTTGTGCTCTTCGGTCAAAAATGACCGACCATAGGAAATGAATGGGAAATTGACAAAAACACAAAAACTTTGAGAATTTTTGTGTGTACAATCTACAAATCGGCCACGATGCAGAAAAAAAGTGCTCAGCATTGAATGGGTGACACTCTAAAACATCAAGAGTGCAAAACAGATATACCCACCCACCCACACACACACACAACACACACTTTTTATACACATACACACCAATGAATTGACCGACCATAGGAAATGAATGGGAAATTGACAAACACAAATTCTCTACAAATCGGCCACGATGCAGAAAAAAACCATCAATAGTGAAAAACATAACATAATTAATCATTATAATTAATATATATATATATAATATATAATATAATAATTATTAAAATTATTAAAATAATAATTAATATAATGTTTAAAGATAATAAATTCATGTTTTAAAATAATAATAATATAAATAATAATAAGCTGTGAAAAAAGCATTACTGTTGTTATTTATTTATTTATTTTTATTGAATTGTAATGTTACCTGTAACAAAATGTTTTCTCTGTATTCAGGTTTGACTGTAGTATAATGCAAAAACGTGTACACTTCACATCAAATTTATTTAAAAAAAATTATAAACCATGGCAAAAAATATTATTTGAGAATTTTAAAAAAAACACATTCAAATCCACATCTTAAAAGTAAGTAATTTTGTCCAAAAACTATTAGAGAATTCACAAGCCTCTCCATAGAGAGCTATACAGGCATCTAGTGGTTACACTATGAAACGACATGTTTTATTTTATTTTCTCTTATTTTAACAGATCTGAAATACTGCAATAATTGAAGAAATATTTTTATAAATTAGGAAAAAAAAAATTTGTATTGCTTTCAATGGCAAAAATGGACCATAAATATTAATAAGTAACGTCAAATTGTCTCAAAATACAAAATTAAAAAGAAAAAATATTATTGAACAAAAATAAATTGCATTGGTTTTACTGGGATGGAGAAAGTTTCATTTTTAGGTGTCCGGTCACTTCTGACCGGGAAGATAACAAGTGTGACTCCGAAACGAAGAGCACCTGAGGGTTAATATAGCTATCATACTCTGCATCGAAAATATATATGAAGTTGCATCTTTAATAACTTTTGAGCCATATTTTGCCATTTGATCGTTATAGGTCTGTTAAGACCGGTCACGGACCTATGAAAAACAACTTATGCAACAAAGAAACTCTTACAAATCAAAAACAAACACTCATTTTTGACCCATCAATGCATATCTCACCTACTGTATATAATCTCACTATTTTAGATGTTCAACACGCATAACTCTGTAAAAATTTCAGAAAATATAGTTTAGGTTATCATGACACTTTACTTGCAATGTATCAAGGGTAACAATGATACCTCACAAAATTACAGGACACAGTTGAATCATGTGCATTTCTATAACCTTTTCTCAATGTCTTTTTGCCATTATGCACTTACATAGAAAATGAGAAGAACTGTGTGGAGAAAAACGTGTCTACTCCAGGCATAAGCATCTACTTTGAGGCCTACCTCTACAACACGGGCACTTACAGTAGCTGTCCTTGGCAGTTACTTGCATCGTCCCAGCTAGCCCTACAGAGACGGCCCTCCATGGGCGATGAGGAGGAGGAACATGACTCCCCTGTAGAAGGCCAGTCAGAGAAGGTCAAGAAACCAAAAAAGGTTTATTGCTATATCTCACCAAAGGTAAAATATTTTGTAAATAGGTTAGTGCTGCATTTGTTTGGGTAATTTTGTTTGTTAATATAGTTTTTTTGTTAATTTGGATACTGACTTATTATATTGTGTTTCAGCAATTTTCTGTAAAGGAGTTTTACCTGAAGATTATTCCTTGGCGCCTTTTCACTTTCCGTGTGTGCCCCGGAACTAAGGTTATCTTTAAAAAAAAAAAAATAATATATATATATATATATATATTTTTTTTTTATGGTATTAATTTCTCTCCTGTCTCTGGCAGTTCACGTACCATGGACCAGATCCTGTTCATAAATACCTAACACTGGTGGTCGATGATGGGATTCAACCTCCAGTAGAGCTCAGCTGTAAGGACAGAAATATCATGGCTGCCACCTTTATCCGATTTCTCCACAAGAACATCGGTTAGTATGAGTGTTGGTTGTCAGTAAATACAAACAAATGTAGACATGTTGGTGTGTTTGATGTGTTAAATGTCATTTGTGCATCTTCTAGGAGGATCAGAGACTTTTCAGGATAAAGTGAACTTCTTTCAGCGGGAGCTGAGACACATTCACTCAAAGAGACCTCGCACTAAAACCTGCCTGAAAATCAGCCGTCCTTCTCTGCTTGAGTCGGTGAGCAAATCTGGTAGATCATTACTCATGGGCCGTATAAAACCGGTTTCAGAACAACATACTCACACAAACCTGCCCTATTTATTTCTTGGAATCTTTTATTTCTTTTGTGTAGTATAGACACGGAATTTTATGGGAATTAAAAGAGATGCTTTCCCCCCATTTTTAGTCTCTGAAGGCCACACGGAACTTTTCTGTGTCTGATTGGAGTAAGAACTTTGAAGTTGTGTTCCAGGATGAAGAAGGTTGGTTAACTGTTTGGTGTTATTAGAAACACAAGTGTTATCAAACAGTGTGAATAAACATAAATCCTATTTAAAGGTTAATTTGTTCTGTTTGTGTTTGGCTGTGTTTATTAGCTCTGGACTGGGGAGGGCCAAGGCGTGAGTGGTTTGAGCTTATCTGTAAGGCTCTGTTTGATACCAATAACCAGCTTTTCACACGCTTCAGTGACAACAACCAAGGGTTGGTAAGTCAGTATCTACCTCTGATTAGTTTTCTGTGAGCAGAAAAACTTATTTTCATTTCTCTGTGTTCTGTAAAGATTATATAAAGTGTTCTGGTATTGGAGAAAGTAATTGTAAAGGATAAAATTACACGCATCACCTTTAGTGAACTGCAGTAATATAGACATTGACTTTTGAATATTGTGAGCTGATATCTGATGAGCTTTTTTGTGTTTTTTGGGCAGGTCCACCCAAACGCTGAGCGCCCCCCTCACCTGAGGGTGAAGATGTATGAGTTTGCAGGGCGAGTGGTGGGGAAATGTCTATATGAATCAGCTTTAGGTGGGGCCTACAAGCAGCTAGTACGAGCCCGATTCACCCGCTCCTTCTTGGCTCAGATTATTGGATTACGAATGAACTACAAGGTGACAGTTGATTCTTAGCCTTCTAATAAATGTATATTTTAACCTGTACTGATACTTTCCTCATTTACAATTGAATACCATTTTATGTGTAGTCATGTGCCCTCTGTTGGGAGCAAATTTTGGAAATCATACCTGCAAACTTGTCTACTTTTGGCAAAATTCACTGTTCTGAAAAGCACTGTTCTGTCTTTATAAAAGTTTTGATGGCATTTTCTTTTCACCTTACCTCTGTAAAGTAGTGTTTATAAGCGCAGCTCTTATTTATGTACACCGGAAACCACTGTATTTCTGCTTTTCCATAAGCACTTTTCATTCAGCCTGGCTGCTGTTGACAGCCAATGTCAAAACCAACCACATGACAGTTTAATGTAATGTAAACCCATAAAGCGAAGTGGTTTCTTAAGTTTGATAATTAATCTGCTATGTCATGTTTATGACATATTTATGACAGGTTGTGTTGTTTTAGTAATGTCAAGTTACACTGCACATGCAAAGACACTGACAGGTTATGATGTATTGGTTTATGTCAAGTTGTCATAACAAAGACTTCTCAAACTGTCATATTTGCATTAAAATGTCATAATTGAGCGAATGACACTTAATGACAGTTGTCATAAACATGCATAAAACCTCCTTCATATTCATGACGTGTCATGTCATGATTATGAAGGTGTCATGTCAGTCTTATGCACACCCCTTCAATTAAAGTGTTACCGGCTGGGATCTGAGTTTTATCATTTTATAAAACTTTTAGTTTTTGTCAAAAATGTTATTACCTGAACTGTAAAAATGGACTGTAAAATTGTTTAAATTCTAGTTTTTATGGTCATTTTACAGCTTAGAATGTTACTATAGACATTAGTGTGGTTTCAAATAATGTTGCTAACGAAACGACATGTAGTTCTATTCTAATATCAGAATTTTTCTGATTCTAAGAAATCCCCCCCACACACACAAACACACACAATATCTTTTTCATTGGTCCAGAGTTTGCAGGTATGCAAATACATCACTTACTCTCCTTTGATTAATTTATATGAATGTTTGTTTAATTTTTGTTGTTCTTTTCTCTGCCAGTACTTCGAAACAGACGATGAGGAATTTTACAAAACTAAAGTCTGCTTCATTCTGAACAATGATGTCAGTGAAATGGACCTGGTGTTTGCAGAGGAAAAATATAGCAAATCGGGACACCTGGAAAAGGTAATCCTCATTAATTCAATGAAATGAAAAATGAAATCTGTTCCATTTAAATCTTGATTTCAAATATCATACAGTTCAATGCATGTATGCATGGAAGTGCTCTTAAGGCGGAAATGTCCAATCCTGTACCTGAAGCGCCAACGTCCTGCAGAGTTTAGCTCCAGCCAACTCAGGGTGCTTTCACACTGGGCTCGTTTGCTGCGGTCTGAGCCCGGGCGTGATTGTTCCCGGCGCGCCCCGCAGCGTTGCTCTGGTTTCACACTCAACTTGATTCTATCGGACCCTGGTGCATTTGCGTGCATCTTACGTCATCGCAAGCGTGCACGGCACATGATAGAAAACAGAACGTGGGTCATTGTATTGTGTTTTTTATTAATTTGGTGCTATTATGCGCAGGTGAGTAAACGACACAGGTTTACTGTGTGTGTGTTGCATAAGGTGGCCTTCTGCTGCTTGCAAACGGACTCTTTTGAGGAGACAGTGGATTTCCAAATTTGTTGCCCTGATTCCACGCGCTATGCACGAAAACACTGCAGGCTCACTCTCGCTCGTATCCAAGGTAAATCATCAACACTATCATCCCTTACATGTGTTTAAATTAGGGCTGTCAAAAAAAATAACGCAGATTAATCCATTCCGTTTTGACCTTTGCGGAGCCGTTCTAGCCGTAGCCACCATTCGTGTAAAAAGGAGGGAGACAAGAACGCGCTGCTTGGATCATTGTTTGGAACATTTACTTATAACAAACGGAGTTCGTCAACTCTAAAGTCAGCCAATTGATGATATAAGTAAAAAAGTATATTTTTACTTATATCATCAATGTAAAGCATCCTGGAGTGTGTGCGTGAGTCGGTGAGTGTGTCTGCGAGAAAGCGCGCTTGTGTGTGTGTGTGTTGTAACTTTTCACGCGCTCTCATGTCACACAACCATTTTCTCACGCACAGAAAAATCGCGCACCAAAGAGAGGACACGGAAACAGAAAGACAGAGCACGTTACTTATGATATTTAAAAAATCTCAGCTCTCAGATTCTGTCAATTTTATTACGAAAATCAAACAATAAATACCGTTGGCGCTTGTAAATGTGACATGACAGATCCCTATAGCGGCACGTGAACCGATCATCTCTAGCTAATAGTAAATAAACACGAATGAACAATGTTGAAAGATACAGTAGGGCAGCCTAAAACTTACCGAAATGTATATTCCTCGATCAATCAGTGTTTTTCAACCGCGAAAAGAGGTCAATAAAACAGCTGGAGAACAATTATGTCACATAACATTTAGCCTAGGTTACCTCAGGAAAGTTACCTCAGGAAAGCCATTTCATGACCATATGATAGCACGTTATAGTTGGCTATAAAAAAAGAGCTATAGAGAGTGTTTTTCTAAATTTATGTAGCCTACTATATTACATATGTATTATATTTTTACTTATATCAAAGTTGTTATTTGTAATAAACACGCATTATATTTAATTTGAGCTATTTTTAACCTTAAATACTACCAGCTGATATGGCTCTCTGTATTTTTACAGCATTGGGTGAGATTTTTTTTTTCTTGAGAAAAATGAATGCCTATCTTGTGTACCTAATATTTATCCAAATGAGTCAATATTGCATCAAATCACAAGAATTCAATTAAATTGAAATCGTGAAATTTGTGTCAAGCAATAATAATAAAAACGTAGCTTACCAGAAATTGTACCATGTAAACATTGTAAGATTGTGTATATGCGATTAATTTAGATTAATTAATTACAGAGTATGTAATTAATTAGATTAAAAATTTTAATCGATTGACAGCCCTAGTTTAAATACATCATAATCAGCTAAAACGCATGCACAGGTCACTTTACTTCCTGAACAAGTGCGCACCCGAGTCCGTGTTGCTTTCACATTCACGCGAACCGCAGCACGGTTCGGGAGCAACCGAACTCAGACCACCTCCTCCAGGTAGGCTCGGGGGGCTTTTACACTGGGCTCGTTTGCTGCGGTCCGAGCCCGAGCGCGTTTGTTCCCGGCGCCCCCTGCAGCGTTGATCTGGTTTCACACTCAACTTGATTTTATCGAACCTTGGTGCGTTTGCGTGCATATTACGTCATCGCAAACGTGCACGGCGCATGATAGAAAACAGAACGCGGGTCAATATTGTGTTTTTTATTAATTCGCTGCTATTATGCGCAGTTGAGTGAACAATACAGGTTTACTGTGAGTGTGTCACATAAGGTGGACTTCTGCTGCTTGCAAACGGACTCTTTTGAGGAGACAGAGGATCTCCAAATTTGTTTCCCTGATTTCACGCGCAATGCACGAATACACAGCAGGCTCACTCTCGCTCGTATCCAAGGTAAATCATCAACACTATCATCCCTTACAAGTGTTTTATTTAACTGAATACATCACAATAAGCTAAAATGCATGCGCAGATCACTTTACTTCCTGAACAAGTGCGCACCCGAGTCCGTATTGCTTTCACATTCACGTGAACCGCGGCACGGTTCGGGAGCAACCGAACTCAGACCACCTCCTCCAGGTAGTCTCGGGTTCGGTACCCCAGTGCGCACCCGGGTCACATGACAGCGTTCACATTAGCGATTTTTCATGCGAACCGTGCCCCGTTCCGAACTAAACTGCCAGTGTGAAAGCCCCCTCGGGTTCGGTACCCCAGTGCAAACCCGGGTCCTTATGACAGCGTTCACATTAGCGATTTTTCATGCGAACCGTGCCCCATTCCAAACTAAACTTCCAGTGTGAAAGCACCCTCAAACACATCTGCCTGGATGTTTCTAGTTAGTCTGAAGACCTTGATTAGCTGGTTCAGGTGTATTTAATTAGGCTTGGAGCTAAACTCCAGGGCAATGGCCTTCCAGAAGCAAGCTAGGACACCCCTATTATTTGAAGATACAGGTGAATGTTAGTTGTGCACCTTCACTGAGAGTAATAATGTTACAGGTAGTGGAATTGATATCTGGTGGTGCTCAAATTGCTGTGACCAATGAGAATAAAATTCACTACTTAAACCTGTTGGCCCAGTACAGACTAGCCAGTCAGGTGCGAGATGAAGTAGAGCACTTCCTCAAAGGTAAGAGCCCATGATCAGACTCTTGAATTCAGTGTCTTTATGAGAAAACAATCTCAAATGAACTAAATTACCTCTTCTGTTCAGGTTTGAATGAACTGGTCCCTGAAAACCTTCTGGCCATATTTGATGAGAATGAATTGGAGGTGAGAACAATAGTTAACATTGCTGTTTTTCTTTATCTAAGTGCAGTTCAGTTGACATACTCTGGTGTTATATATCTAACCATATCTCTGTATCTTTGGATTTAAAACCAGTTTGATGAGCTGTGCGATAAACATCCCCTGATATACATTCAACCAATACTTCCTTTAGGGAACTCAAAACTATTTTTCATTCTTTTAATTGGTATCATTTTGTTTCCATTCTTAAGTAACGGTCACATTTGCAAATTTAATTTAGCGAAATTTATCAAGATTTCATGGCCAAAAAGATCCATTGTCAACAGTGTTTCCAACTTACCGACTTTGTTGCTAATTTAGCGACTTTTCAGACCCCTTTAGCGTCTTTTTCCACGAAAAGAGTCTAGCGACAAAACTAGGGACAACTTGAACAAACCTAGTTTCCAAGACTCACCAGTATTGCCCCACGAGCATGAGGTCTTGCTTACCCTCCTGTTTAGTAAGTGACAGAGAGGAGCAGTTAAAGGGTAACTAAACCCCTGGTCAGAGCCTGACTCCACCCATTGGCAATATTTGAAAAAAGCTGTAAAAATGGGCAGACCCCAGTGGAGATAGAGGGGACGAACCGAGGGCGGGGCTGACCGGGGGGTCGTGCACCTGAGACCCGCAGTGACAGCTGCTGTCAGACTCTAAAATGGAGAGTGACTGGAGTGACGCAAGTAGCTTTGCAACAGAGCGGTCATTTGAAGTCGAGGACTTTTCTCCCCACCTTCACCTGAAGTGGAGGAGGGTGAATTGTCTGTGGACACAGGGCCATATCAATTCGAGCCGCTGGCTCAAACTGCGGTCTTAACTCCCGCATCGCGATCGGCATCTGATGAGTTTTGTCGAGTTGATGTCAATGATGCGCTCTCTGTAGCCATATATTCATATTGAAATTTTGCCGCTATGTGAAAAAATCCAGCAAAATGCACCGGCGCGTTTGTCGACCCCAGAGGATTAACTTTAGCCTAAATTGTGATTAAAATATACATGATCACTCACATCAAGACGCCGCTGCGGTGGTGGAGTCCATGCAGGAGGAGCAGCGTGTGGCACTGCGTCGCTTTTCAGCGCGAGCTGTGTGGAGAAGCCCATTTCCACCTCTATTCCGTTACCATCCTGACCACTGTACTAAATACAGATAAATCTACGCTAACTTGAAGCTATCCTAACTGATGCAGTACTATGCTACTAACTAACTAACTAGGCTACACAAAATAATCTAAAAAACTATATAAATGCTATGCTAAATAGATGCTAAAATACTCTATCCTGATCGTTTTCAATACTCGTAATTCCAACTCTTGACTCGCAGTGGTTTTGACGAAACAAGATGGTTTTTATACTGCCAAGGTCGTGGTAGCTCGTACCAAGGGCGTGGTGAGCTGGAAACTGCTTACGTCAGCTCTCACGCTTACAATGCACCGCAAACATCCAATAGGAAAATTCAACTGCAGTAGCCACCGGTCAACCTGAAGAGGGCAGCACTCAGACGTTTTTACACCATATATTGTAGAATTAAAACACTTTATACCCAAATGTCAAAAAAGTTACTCGAATCAATGATCAAGTCAAGTCATCTTCATTTATATAGCGCTTTTAACAATGGATTGTTTCAAAGCAGCTTTACAGAGATAAACATATAATTTAAGGTAACAGAGATTGTTCTGGCTTTATAGCGGTTCTTGAATAATGTTATTTCCAGCTAAAGTTAGTTTTGATTGATTCACCTCCGTCGAAATGATCATTTGTTATTAAATTAGGGGCCGCTAAGACGACGCCGTTCTCTCTAAACAGACTTTAAATGCGAACCTGTGATTAACGCTGACGGCGTTCACATGCACATTAAGAATTGATTCTATAGGTATGTGCTTTTGAAAATATGTGCGCAGGTTTGTAATTCCATACAACCCATGCCTAAACAAACTACTTGTCTTGCCTATAAATTTTGATACAGAATTTTGTTTTATTTTATCACTTCGGGGTACGCGAACCGAAATTCACAATGCTTTATCTGTAGAGTGGGAAAGGGATCCTCCATAGGGAGAGGATAGTTGACACTTCAGCACTGCATTGTCATCGGGTCCAGGCAAAGCTCCTTCGTCAGATCTGGATACGACCTGGATCCGGCAGGCTGCGGGAAAACCTCGGGATAAACAAAGACACTAATATTAGCGTAGATGCCATTCTTCTTATGATGTAACGAGTACATCAAGATTTAAGGGAAGTGTTCCCAGTTCCGGCTGACCTAATCTATGCAGCCTAACATTGAATTATAGAAGTCTATAATGTATTATGTGTATGCTAGGTCAAAAAGATGTGTTTTTTAGTCTAGCTTTGAACTGACAGAGTGTGTCTGCTTCCTGGACAATGGTAGGAAGACTGTTCCAAAGTTTTGGTGCTAAATAGGCTAGGTATTATCAACTGGCCGGAATTTTGAGATCGCAATAGACATGAAGGACTATAATGCTTTAAAAGCTCCGCTCAAGTACTGCGGAGCTAAACCATTTAGTGCTTTGTAAGTAATCAACAATATTTTAAAATGTATACGATGTTTAATAGGGAGCCAATGCAGTGTTGACAGAACCGGGCTAATATGGTCATACTTCCTGGTTCTGGTAAGAACTCGAGCTGCTGCGTTTTGAACGGAGCAACTGCGTCTAAAGTGCTGGAAAAGAGAGAGTTAAAAGTTTCTGTTGCAATATCAAGTTCTTCTAAGCTATCAGAAGAACTTGAACACGATCAGCACTAATAAAGCCCCATTCTTACAGATTATTAACTAAAAAAAGTTGGTTTAGGGTTTAGTTACCCTTTAATGATGTTATCTGTCAGCGAAAAAATCTTTTTCTTTTGCACAATCATTGTTTGATTTATCTTTTGTCTGTGGAGATTTTGTCTCTATTATAAATCAGGATTTTAGTCGAGTAGTGATTGTTGATTTAATATGTTGTCTTAATAGCCTGTATTTCAGTCACTATTTCATAATCATCCCATTGTCTCCAACAGAAAAATATATAAATGAGAATAGTTTAATTGGTAATTCGGCTGTATTGAAATAGCCAGAATGCGAATATGACACTATTATGTCATGAATATTGCTTTTCAAGCAGGCTTTAGTTACTTTCCACTGAAAGTAGTTGGCAAAAGTGATTGTCAAAAGTGTAGCTATGTATGAAGTTTAGCAAGTCACAGAAGTCAAACCAAGCCGCTTTTGTTGGTGAATGAAGCTAATCTTGACCAACTTGAACACGAAAAAATTCTGCTCAGAAAAAAATATCGCCCTCACTTTGAACTCCTGATCGGACACATTCCTATTTAAATGACTGGATTTTTCTCATGAAATTTCACCAAGCACTGGTAAATGTGACAGAAACTTTAACAATCATTCGAACCATTAACATTTTTTTTTTTTTTACAGACTCCCCATGTGAAGTCGATGTGTAAAAATTTTAACGTTTGACTGTTCTGTCCTCTTCTCAGTTGTTGATGTGTGGTACAGGAGATATTAACGTACAGGACTTTAAAGCTCACGCTGTTATTGTTGGAGGGTCATGGCACTTCAGAGAAAAGGTGAGTGATTTAACATATTTAAAAAATAATGTATTTCATTAGTTTTTCAAGGTATGCAGCTAGCATGGGTTATATACACGGATTAACAATAAAACCACTGACAGGTGAAGTGAATAATATGGATTGTATCATTACAATGGCATCTTTCAAGGGGTGGGATATATTAGGCAGCAAGTGAATAGTCAATTCTTGAATTCCATGTGTTGGAAGCAGAGAAAATGGGCAAGCAAAAAAATCTGAGTGTCTTTGACAAGTGCCAAATAGTGATGGCTAGATGGCTGAGTCAGATCATGTCCAAAACAGCAAGTCTTGTGGAGTGTTCCCAGTTTGCAGTGGTTAGTACCTACCAAAATTGGTTGGATAACCCGGTAAACCGGCGTAGGGGTCATGGGCACCCAAGGCTCATTGATAAATGTGTGGAGCGAAAAATAGCCTGGCTGGTCCAGCATACTGAAGAACCACTGTAGCTCAGATTGCTGAGAAACTTAATTCTGCCCACGATAGAATGTGTCTGAACACACAGTACATCAAAGTTTGCTGCATATGGGGCTGCATAGCACCAAAACCGGTCAGAGAGGTGGAGACAGTGTTATGCTCTGGGCAATGTTCTGCAGGGAACTTGTTCAGGAATGGTTTGAAGAACATGATAAAGAGTTTTTTAAGGTGTTGTCTTGGCGTCCAAATTCTACATGTGCTGGACCAACAAATCTGATTCATGGAGGCCCCACTTCCTAACTTGCAGGACTTAAAGGATCTGTTGCTGCTAATGTGCTAATGTACCACAGGACACATTCAGAGGTCTTGTGGAGTCCAATATACTGCTCTTCGACCCTGACAGTGTTCTGACAAACACCTCAGAAAATACAAAGTTAGAATGCTCATGCTCAGAGTGCTGTCTCATGCTATTCAGTCCATAGACTTGTTTACATTAGTCAATCTCAAGGACACACATTTCATGTATCCAGAAATTTTGTTAGCCCTGCGGTAGGGGTGGGCGATATGAGCAAAAATTCACATCACGATATTTTTCACTGTCTGGATGATATCGATATTATATTACGATATGAGAAAAAAAAATGGAATCACATTTTAGTACACCTTAGTTAAATTACAGGCAAAATATGTATTTGAACCATATATAACTAGAAAAAGGTGAGGGATTTCATTGGACATCAAAAAGTGCAAACGTGCAACATGAGGTAGGCCTGAATGCACTTGTTATGTCTTTCCACTTGTTGCTCGTCTTTTTATAACGAGTACCGGCAACGAATGAAGACTTTTATTGATTTCTGAGTGGGAGCTGTCTTCGGGCGTGCTCCGTCTCCGGGAATATCTGTTGCACGCATTTGGGTGCATTCCTCATATTTGCGGACATGCATGGTTTTCAAATGATTAAAGAGATTTCTGGTGTTTCCACCTTTGGCCGCAACAACACGGCGACACAACTTGCATAGTTTTGTTCGTTGGTCGATGTCGGAGATTTTGAACCCAAACCAGTTCCATACGACAGAGGAGCCCCCCTTCATTTTAACCAATTCTTCCTCGTGCTCTTCAACATGACTTTCTGTGTGTTCGCTCATCTTGTTCACTTTTGCAGTGCCTATTGTTAAAGGGGTCATATAATGGTACATGCACTTTTACAAGTTGATTGTACTGAAATGTGTGTTGGCAGTGTCTGTACACAACCATCATATAATGATAAAAATCCATCCAGTGGTTTTGTTTTAATCTCCTTATATGTTTTCCCCTGTCTTAAATTGAGCCGTTCGTTTTTGTGACGTAAATAAAACGGACGCCCCTCCCACGATTGTTGATTGACAGCCGCGACAGCCGCGTTTCAACACAGACCCGCCCTCGCTAGCTGTCAATCATAGTCAGCGCGGACCGGCGCGGTCATTGTTGATATGCTGGAGCACTGTCTATGAGCAGAATGGCGTCTAAGCGATTGTGGTGTTCTGTTCTTGGGTGTAATAACGAACACAGCAGTCATTTTAATGTTCCTAAATCCGAACCGCTGAAGACGCAGTGGCTGAGTTTGTTTTCGAAGGGAATATTCCCCACGAGCAACGTCAGCTCTCATGTTTGCGCGAATCATTTCACACACCAGACTGCTTTATAAACGAGGATCAGTATAAAGCTGGTTTTGCTAAGAAGCAGCTCCTGAAGAAAGGATCGGTAGCAGATATTCGTGTTCCTGCTGAACCTCCAAAAGAACTGAAGTGAGTGTAACGTTTTATTAAACTTTATATTACTATTTATATTAATCCTTGTAAATCGCTAGCTGCATGCTTCACAATGAATGCGTCTAAGGTTTACACTCAGGGTACATTACGGCATGTTTTCTATGTATGACGTTCTCAATATAATGCATAATCCCACGTTTATACCGAACAACGCGTTATGGTTATTGTGTTACAAACGGTGTACGCCAGAGCCGGCTCTGGTGACGCATAGAACAGAGAGGCGGAGTGAGCACAGCTCATGATCATTTAAAGTCATATACACTGAAACGGCGTGCTGAAAACAGAGCTGTTTTTGACCAGGTAAAATAAGTGTTTTCTTGCAATACTAATGAGAATTTTTAATTAAAGTATATTACAAACTTTTAATTTAGACCCTAAAGAATCATATTAGCTTGTACAAAAATGGCATTATATGACCCCTTTAAATGTCACGAGTTCGCAAACTGCAGTTGCATGTGCTTGCTTTATTGCTGTTGTGTGTTTGAGGAGGCAGGTTTGTGCTCTATTAACTTGGACTGTTACCATGCTGTGTTTGATTATTAATGCCTGTGCATCACGCGAGTTGGACACAGTAGAGGAAAAGGTTAAACGTTCAGTTATGCCTTGATTCTGTATCGTCATTAGTAGTGTTAAAAGTTGTAAAGAGTACCAAATTGAACAAAACAATACCGCTTTTTTCAGTTCATCGCGATCTCACAAAGTTCCGTTATGATCAGTGAAGCTGCCAACAATGCACAATAAATCTCTTACTTACATCGTGTCTACGCTTCGTTTGTTAATGTGAGGTTTCGTGAGCCTGCATAACTCAGCAGCACTGAATAAAAGCTCCGGCGTTTTGAGCGGTGAGACTCTTCCTAACTTAAATACCTCTGGTTCGCCATTGCGTTCAAGAAATCAACTATATCTGTGAATGGCTACATTGCTCACCGCTGCAAAAAAAAATTGAAAATAGATTCATTTGACGTTCTCCAGAGCGATAGTGCATGGGAGCATTTGCCAAATATGTTTTGCCAATATATTATTACATTATCAGCTGAGGGTGCTCTTGCTTGAGTTTGAGGGTGCTTAGCGCTTTGAGGGTGCAACCATTAGAACCGGGCCTGGCTGAAGCTGTGTGTGTGAACAAGGCACGGCTGCAGAGTGTGAGTTGCTCTGTCTCACACGCAGCCTCAGATGGAGAGAAATTATCTGGTACAGAAACCGAATAGATAACGTCGAAGCTTATCTATACAATGCATGCCAAAGGACTGCATACTACGGATCCATTCTGAATTATTAAACACACCAAAATACAATTGAAAAATAAAAACATTCTGAATGTGTGGAAACTCTGCATTCTGAAGGTCTATGTTATCAGTGAACAGTTTTTCTGTCAGAACAAGCAATCATGTCTATGTTTGGATCGTCTGATGTTCAAGTGTACATAAACACCACACTGATCCTCATAAACTTCTCTAAAACATGCTTCTTCGGCGAGCACCCATTATAAAACACCCATAGAACATTTATTATGACAACAATCCGAATATATTGAACTGTGTTCATGCAGAAATGCGTAATAGCGATCAGTGAGCCGAGAGCGCACATACACGGTTTGTTTGAGCATCAGTAATAACGGGCTTGCGCGTGCCTAATGTACGACTCCTGTATGTCACTGTAATCGTCTTCACCTTTATTACAATTGTAATAAAGTGGGCCATGGCCCATAGGTTGAAAACCACTTTTCTATGTGACTCTCAGGACACACCTCTGTCTCAGTAGTGTTGTGAAACGTCATATTCACGTAGCAGCAGTGGTGATGAGAGAAGTATGCACTTGAGAAACAGTTTAGAGAGGAGAAATCAATCTACATAAAAAATATTGGTCACTTTCTAAATAATAAAAGTATAGCGCATCTACTAATAATTATAAATAAATCAATTGTTTTTTACAGATGCAAATATATGTTAGAAACGATGCATCACGATTCCAAAGCCAACTTGTATCCGATGCACACTTTTTTTAAATCGATACATCGCATCATTAACTTTTATGCCGATGCACCGATGCGAATCGGTGAATCTTACCATCCCCAGTTGGTACTCAACACGACTGCTGATGGGTGTGAAAAGGATTTGGTTAAGATCCAAGAACAGCATGGCGATTCTGTTCTGCAAAAACAACTATAGTGTGTGTCAGTTTATTTGCACACTATATGGCTGCCAAGCAGCCTAGACCTAGGCTAGCCTACACTGTCAGAAAAACCTTTTTTTTTTTTTTTTTATGACAGCTTGTCACTAGATCCGCTCTTCACACCATGGCACTTCTCCAAGTTTTCCAAGTCAAAATCCTCTGTCTGGACCTGACCCAGCTGCCTTTAAAGAGCTGCGCAGTGCAACCAACCTCGCCCTGTGCACTACTAAGTTCACAGCCCAGGCAATCAGATGAGCAATGGCCAATCTGGTGGTCCTTAAGCGCTACCATTATTTAAACTTAATGGAGATCAAGGACGCTGACAAGACAGCCTTCCTTGACACCCCTGTCTCTAAAGCGGGTCTGTCTGGTTCTACAGTGGATGGCTTCACTGAGCATTTTACAGCTGCCCAGAAATCATTGCATGCCATGCGCAACTTTCTTCGGAAGAGGGCTAGTTCTGCTGCTGCTTCCGGTTGCCCCAAGCAGCCACTGACTCAGCAGCACAACAGGCCCGCGTCTTCGTCTGCTCAGCACCAGCCCAAAGCAGAACCCGAGATCTGGCAGTGCTAAGCGCTACCCTTT